TGTACCGTCAAAGGTACAACATGTTCCCTCTTAGGGTTAAATGGGGCATATGTGTTCCTTTTCATAACTTTTTTTAAGTACAAAAATAAAAAACTCCTCTAGTCAAGACAGTGATGAAGTCAGTGTAACTTAAAACATAACTGCAACAGAATATGACACAATTATGTTCCCTGGCTGAAAATACTGAAGACGTAGCCTTGAGGGGCACCACCCCGTGACAGCGTGTATGCCCTGAAAGATAGATATACACGCTCAGAAAAATGGCTACTAAACGATAGCTGGGGCAGTACCCCTCTTCTCACTGGGGTGGTAAACTCAAGGGTATGTCTACAGTATTTTTAGTTAGGGAGAAAGTAGAAGTATGTACTTTTCCCTGGGGTATGCGATCTGATTTATTTTGTCAGCGACTCGATGATGTGTCCTACTTGTAATTCCAAATGAGACAAAGTGAAATGTAAACAGTCTTAAACGTTCAACTTAGGAATTCCTGATGTGCCCTAAATAACAATACTGTTGTGAGCGTCATTTAACATTACAATGGTCTCGCATCGCGTCCTAAATTGACCTTAAAAGGGTACATCCTGGATTACGCTCTTCGTTGAACACCTTTGCATATTCAGCACTTTTCTAGCAGGTGAATAAGCATAAATAAGAGTCCACTTCGCGCAGGCTTACTGAAATCCCTTTAAAACGTGCCTGGAAGAAAAAAAAATATATATATATATAAATTTCACATCACATTACTTTTATATATATTTTCCTTTTAGACCAAGAAGTGTTGTCATAACTTTCTACAATATTGAAAATTATTTTTTTCATATTCCCCAAAGCAATTAGTCAGATCTTAATAGAAGTTTTGAACTAGTTTAAGCTATTAGGATAGTTAAACTGTCGTCAGTAGCTTAAGCCTAAATCTACCATTAGGTTTCTGGATATAGTAAAGGAACTGTGTTCAGACGCTGCGTGCTGCCTGCACCAGCAGCGTGTCTCGGTTTGAAAAGTGCTGCCAACTCCTGGCTGCGCGAAACACCCTCATCTCAACATCACATGACTGACATCATTGTGTGTTGATATAATAGAGCCTGAGATGTGTATGCGCGCGCGTGTGTTTGTGTGCGCGTGCGTGAGTGTCTAAGAGGGGAGTCGTGGTGCTTCAAATATTTAAAAGGGGAAAAAGGAGAGCGGAGCAGTGGAAGAATGTAGGTTAGTGTATCGCAGACAGCGCGAGGGGGGAATGTCTCGCGGTGATGATGTTCGATATTCCACGTCACGCGCGACGTAATTTAGCCACTGACTTTATTAAGATGGCAAATTGAGTTGCGTGACAAAAACAGCGTTTGGGCCATGCCTGTGCCGGTTTATCCTCTTAGACTGCGCTTCCCTGCTTAGACAGCAAAGCTGGGAGATTGTGTGGGGCTTCGGGAAAGGCGGTGGCTGCTAAACCGTCGGCCAGAACGCAGCAACTCTCGCCCCCTTAAAAAATCACCTCAGAGTGACTTGGCGACAAACACCAGGAAAACTTTGCCCGTTACATTTGGTACGAGTGGGTATCTGAATGTGTTATTACGATCTTATAAACCAATTCTGATGAGAAAGCAGTTCAATACTGAATCGTTCTTCTTAAATTGAGGATATTTTACATTTTAGTCAGTCCTGCACTTCTGTAACAGCCACGGTTCTGCATCATCCCTGTGTAGCAGCAGCTATGCTAGTAACCCTACAGAACTCCTCCCACGTGATCGCCAAGGCTGTCTAATCCTTTTGAGAATCCACAGAAAAGCAGCCTTTCATGGTTTTTCTTTAGGTGATATGATCCAAAGACCAGGCCTTTTCATGTGACCGTCGATATAATTTCGTTCACACGCCGTACTTTTTCTTTTTTTTTAACCCGGAGTCCGCGCGCGCTCACTCCCGCCGCTCAAGTTCACTCGCTAGTCTACTTCGCCGAGACTCGAGAACCCGCGCCATGTTGTGACGTCACCGCGCGTGTCAGGGGTTTGGAGAGACTGGAGTAAGAACAGAAAAAAAAATGGGAGAAATAAAAGACTGCGCTTGCGCAAGAGAGAGAAAAGATGCGGTTTAAATGAATTCTTAAAACTGTTTATATTCGAAGATGGGGGTGGGTTGAGGTAGGGGTGGGGTCTGTGGAGATGGCGCCGAAATACTGAACAACATAACTGCTACAAAACCGAGCCGAATTCCTATTAAAATAACGAGCTAATTACAGTCTAGACATGTTTGAGTGTAAAGTGGTGAACCAGTGTGAAAAGTATTTTACATTGTTTTTCTTTTTCTTGCGCTGGAAACAAAACTTGCCTCGTTTTTCTTTTTTTCATTTTGGCTCCTTCATTACTTGTTTTGATATGTTAGGTGTGGTGTGGAGTTCATTCAGATGTATCCTGGTACTGAGAGTAGAAGTGCTCTTTTGCACCTACACAAATTCACTTAGATAATGCTGTGTTCTGAATTAAATTCCTTGAGTCAGCATGTTCGGCGTGTTCTCAGACAAGCTCTGTCAGTCCAGAATAGCCGCAAACAGAGCACAAATATGAGCAGGCTGCGTCTCAAACCGCATACTACCGTAGGCTAAATAGTATGCCAAAAACAGTACACCACTATTAGCAGTACATTCATGAGTGTGGTGTGTGTAGTGTAGTAGTATGTGATTTGAGACGCTGTCCTTTTCTCATCTGCTGTGATTTTAGGCTGAACTCGCTCCTCATAGACTACAGCGGCGAACATGCTAAAAAAACTTGCTAAACAGTCTCAGGTTAGCTTATGAATTCCACACTTACTCGTGTTCAAGCAAACCTGGAAACCTTTCGCTTCAAGGTATTTACAGACTACAGCTTATTCCGCCCCTTTAAGAAACAAGATGCTAAAATGGCGTCTTATTCACTGTCAAGTTCAAGTTGTGTTAGTGACTCGTAGGCTAAGGACGGAGCAGAGGCTAGCAAGATGCGCTGCCGCGGTCAGAGGAGGACAAATTCATAAAAGAAGAGATGGATTCGGGTCTCCATTGGTCACATTTCGTAACTTTTTTAATTTCAGTCAAAACTTAGGTTCACATTTCATCATAAATAGTTTGTTCAACAAACAAACCGACAAACAATAGGCCTACTTTGAAAAGTACAAGGTTCTCCTGTTTAGCTAAATTACGAATAGGCTCGTTGAAAAATGAAACATAATTCACCCCGAATGTGGCACAGTGACACAGTTCGTCAGTTAAACTTCTGCTTTTCAGGAATAACTTGCTGCGTGACCCATTTCTCCCAGAAAGTGTTACAACATCACATTCAAGCTGCTCTTGCACATCAGATTTACATCCGAGTCCACGGCTTATGATACAGTGAGGGTGGCTGAAATAAACGCTTATTTCTTTTAAATTAAGGTATAGAAAATAGCTTATAAAACATATATTCATTAAATTATTTAAATAAAAGTATTTGATATATCACTGTTAACTTGCGAGGTACTGTATTTTTGTACATTATTATTATTTGTTTTTTTCTTTTTTTTTCAAAAGTAGTGCTGGTGGTCTGAAATCGTAAGCACAATATATCTGTGAATGCATAATATTTTCATTCTCAAAAATAGGTTACAATGCAATGCTGTAACTCTTTGTGCCACTGAACATTTTTTTTCCCCCTCATGAAACATATTTCTATTACTCTCAAGACTAAAATTCCGTCCACACATAATTCATCTGGAAATGCTGTTCACATAAAACAAGCAAATGCGTAATAAGACTCTTCTATATGTAACACCACAGTACTCATGACGAATAACACGCTTATATCCACATAAGAACTACATTTAAAACAATGCAAAGTGACAGACAAAAAAAAGTTTTATTTGAGATTACTGTGTGGTGACAGTTCATTGTTCTGGTTGGAAACATTTAAACACATACTTGCATCCACAAAGACAGTACTGGAACCATCAAAATGGAGTACGATACTGACTCGAACGACCCCAAGAATCTGGTGTCTGTAACACTGTCACACGAGTTAAAAGTTCATGGATGAAAGCTATATGCTCTTGCATAACACAAATGAGAGTCTGATCGAAATGCGAGGAGTCAGATGCTGCCTAATGGGCCTCTCGAATTTTGTACCTAATAGCTGCTTATAGAAGTGTAGTTCTAACCTCTCGCTAAGAGTAAAGAAAAAAAATGCACAAAAAAGTTAATTTTGGATCAAAAATCAAGAAAACGTCGACAGCAACGCTTCATATAGCTAATTTCTCTCTCAGAGTGTTTTGCTGCGTCTATCAATGCCCTTAAGAGCTTAAAGACCTCGAATAACCTATACAATACTCTAACCTTTAGGAAAAAAAGTCAATCCATTATATTCATAGGTGATATTTTTGTGATCCAGGTAAGACACATTTATTGGTTAAAAAAAGATACAATCGCGTCAAGGAAGCTTTTAGAGTTGATGACCTTCTTTCAATGTTAAGCTGGTTATTATGACTCAAAACTGTACAATCTTGTTAGAAAACATTTTCCATAAATATCATTTAAGATTCGGCTCTCTGGCCGATAATTAAATTACAAATCGATAAATATGGCATCATGGATATGTATTTACATCGTTATTAACAAAAGGCAACGTTATATTCAAAGGTAACAATCGTAACCTACTAGCACATTTCTCCATCTGAAAAAAACGGACGTGGACAACAGATTCGACTCCATCAAACAAGGAAATACATTCACGAGTAGGCTATATACTTATTTAGGATTTATTATTCTTTTTTTCTGTCGTTGTTGTTCAAGTTCAAGACAAAGACTTTGGCACGTTTCTTAAGACTGTTCGAAGTTTTTAACAATCAATCCAAAGGTGACGTTGGCGCCACCGATATAAAAACACCGTGAAATATTATTCCTTTTTTTCCTTTATTTTTTTTTTTAAATAAACTTTTGAGAAAATACATAAAATGAAAAATAAAATAATCATCTGAAATCTGAAAAGTAAAACGGAAAACCATTTTATTTATTTCTTAGAAAGTGTAGTAGTTTTTTGTATTATTAATGTTTTTTTTTCTTTCATTTCTTCGCACTCGGAATAAGAGTCTGATTTTGGAATCCTGAGAATGGACGAGGCCTGTTGGCGAACTCTCATCTCTCTTCACGTTCTTCCATTGCCATTTTGTTCACCGTGGTGTGAATGGTGGTTGTTGTTGTTGTAGTCGTTGCTGCTGCTGTTGTTTATTTTGTTTTAAGGTTTCTTTAACCTTTTGGTCCGCAGTAAGAGTTCTGCGCCTATAGCTTCAAACGTACCATTCGTTGAAGTTGGGCGCCAGTCCTTCGCTGTGTGCTGCTGCTGCTGCTGCGCTCTGTACGGCGGACGGGGGGGTTTTGGTGGGGTCCTCCGTGCTGGCTGACACCAGGACCGGTGGCGTGGAGGACTCGTAGCCCGAGCTGGCAGCTGGAGACGACTCTGAGCCTTGGGACTCGTGTACCTGTTTATTGACGACAGTTAAGAGCGTTTAAGGGTGATGGCAGACACAGTTGTACGGTATTTGAGATAATGCTCTGGTTTGGCTTGTGGCACAGTCATCACAATCATACAAGCTACAGCTGCGTTTACTCAGCATTGAGATCTACTGCAAGAGTGACCAACTGGGAAAAATACATGCAGCTTTCCAGAGAATGTGGCAAACTCATCATCATCATCATCATCATCATCATTGACCAGCATGAAAACCTCCTCAGCATTAGTGTGTTTATTTAGTTCTCGTTGTGTCAGACTTGTTGGGAGGTAAGTGGTCACAGTAAAGCCAGGTGTAATTACCTTCATGTGTTTCCTGAGAGAGCTTGGGTGCGTGTAGGACTTGTCGCACACTTTGCAGATGTATGGCTTGTCCGACGTGTGCACGTGCATGTGCTTTTTCCTGTCGCTGCTGTTTGCAAAGCGCCTGTCGCAGCCATCGAACTCGCACTTAAACGGCTTCTCGCCTAAAAAACAGAGAAGCAGAACGGGAGGGCATTTAAAAAGCATGCATCCAACAGCAAACAGCAGACTGCTGATGTTCCGCCAAAGAGGTTTCTGCGTCCTATTATGTAATATGCAATTCGTTTCAACAGGCTAGTAGCCCACTGCCCCACCAAAGTTACCCTGATATTGTGACTTACAAATAAAGCTAGTTTTTCATCTGAAGCAGCAGCGATGGTTTCTTAATTAACTTTGCACTGCACAACAAGTACATGCAGTTCTACTTTCCAGCAAGACGAAATTCCGCTTTCTGCGAGCCACAGCAACCTAATTGCCAAACTGTAGCCATTTTCAACAGCTTGCTTTACGTTGCGTGTGATTCTCAGAAGTAACGGGTCATCGATTTCCACACAGATCCATCAAGGGGCCATCAGACTAAAATGTAATTTGCCCACTTCACACTTCCACACAAACATTTAACGTTTTTGTCGCTTTTTTGTCATGGATTCGCGCAACTAAGCAAACAAGGACACATTCTGTTGACAACTTTAAGCCCCAGTCATCAGGAGTAGATTTACAAATGGAAGAAGCAGACAGCCATTCACAGGAAAAACAAAAAAAAAAAAACAACAGCAAAAAACCAGACAGATCGACTTAAATGGTTCCCAACTCGGAATAGTAAAATGAAACCTACTTATGCGCGTTATTTCTACACTTTTGCTCCACACAACCTCATTTGTCACCACTTTTTAAACATTTGCTCAGCTTCTCAAGACGAAAACATGCGGCCTCGAAGGCCTAAACGCTCAGGTCAGTCTCTCACTTAATTCACACCTTTGCTTATTTCCAAATGCAGCAGAAAGAAAGCAGCAGACAAGTGACCTACCTGTATGAGTTCTCTTGTGAATTTTCAAATTTTCCGACCTCGCGAATATTTTCCCGCAGCCGGGGAACGGACAGGGGAAGGGTTTCTCTCCAGTGTGCACTCGGATGTGGTTCACGAGTTTGTATTTGGCCTTAAAGGATTTCCCCTCTCTCGGACAGTCCTCCCAGTAGCAGATGTGGTTGCTCTGCTCGGGTCCGCCGACGTGCTCCATGGACACGTGCGTGACCATTTCGTGCATGGTGCTGAAAGTCCTGTCACACGTTTTTTTGGGCCTGTTCAGCTGGTTCTCGTCTATCCACTTGCAGGACAGCTCTTGCTTTATGGGCTGCCGCATGTAGCGGAAGAAGGCGCCCGGGCCGTGGTGCGCGGGCACGTTCATGCCCACGTTCACGTTGATGGCGTGGTTGTAGTTGTGCAGCGGCGCGGCGCCGTACGGGTCGGCGCGCGGGCTCGCCACGGGCCGGTACGGGTCGGGCCGCCCAAAAAGGTCCCCCGGGCGCAAGCCCAAGTGCATCTGTCCGTTCACGACATGTCCGCCGGGCGACGCGTGCCCCACGCTCTGCTCGTGCAGCCCCGGGAAGAGCAGATGGCCCGCGTTGTCCGAGATCCCGGGCGGCGCGTGCAGACTGCCGGCCGACGCGGCGAAGATCCCGTGCTGTGCGCTCGTGGCCGCCGCTGCCGTCTCGCCGATGCCGGCGCCCCGGTTCCTGAACAGAAAGTCCCGCGTGGAGTTGAAGGCGGCGCCGCCGTACGAGCCCACCTGGCCGCCGGGGTGGTGGTGGTGGTGATGATGGTGGTGGCCGAGCGCGGCCGCGTAGCCGCTGGCCTGCGGCGTGAACGCGGACGTCTGGCTGGAGGCGATGTCGTGGGCCACAGGGCTGATCTTAAACGCCGCTGAGTGCGCCGAGGAGTCGCCGAAGGGGCCCAGCCCCAGGCCAGGGTCGCGGTTGCCCAGCTCATGGTGCCTCGGCGTGCCGAAGCCTCCCACTCCTAACGACGGGAACTGCGGACCGCTATCGAGGAGCATCGTCATTCGGGCTCGAGTGACAAAAGCAATGGAAGGAGAAAGAGGAGGAGAAGGAGGAGGAGGAGGAAAGAGATTGGAAACCCCAGGTTAGCGGAGTGAAGTTCAACAAACGCGAGCGACGAAAAGCGGGACTCAGCCTGTGCACGGAACGCGAAGCTCTAATTCTTAGCCTAAAAGGAAAAAAAGAGAAAAGTTTCGAGCGCAGATGAGTAGTCCCGGGCTCAGGGAGCGGGGGAGAGTAAACTCCCGTTAGAGGGATCCGTGAGAACGAGGATCAAACTTCCCCCCCTCTCCGCGCGAATGATGTCCTTGGACTGATAAAGTCAATCACTCACTCCTTGCACATAAATGAGCTCGGGAGGCAGGTCCGCTCCGACCAATGGAAACCACGCTCCCTCCGCGTCACGTGACGGCGGCGCGAAGAGTTAATTGGCTGGTTGGCGGCTGATTGGCAGCGTTTGGGATTGAAAATGGCAGTTCGCCTCAGCGGGTCACTTTGATTGGTCAGCGCTGGCATTATTGTGCAGGTGAGGCAGCCGGGACGCGTTTGGGCTGCAGTTTGGATGTGCCGCCCTCAGCACGACAGCTGCTCCAAAAAAAAAGTTACAGAAACATATTTCAGACACTGATTGCTGAGTCTTGCACTATATTTTGCACACCGTCCCTGTCAGTCTCAAAACTGGGCACAAGAAAAGCAGTTTACAAACAAGTTTTCATTAACAATAACTTTTACATTACTAAAAAGTCACTGACGTGAAAAATAAGAAAAAACATATGCTTAACGTTAAAACTTGGACCAATCACCATTCAGCATCAACAGGCGAATACAGACTAACTACACTGCATTAAACAAGTTGATGGTATAGAAAAAGCTAAGCAACGTAATTCAGTCGTTGGTGGTGTGCATTTTAGAAATAGATTTAAATACCTGAAATTGAAATATTGAAATTTTATGCTTGTGAGGACATTACTCATTTCTAAAATGCAACGAGAGTTATCTATCTATCTATCTATCTATCTATCTATCTATCTATCTATCTATCTATTTATCTATCTATCTATCTATCTATCTATCTATCTATCTATCTATCTATCTATCCCATTAAACCCATTCTCTTGTGAAATGTTGGCCTGTGTTATTAAACGGCTGTTCTGGCTCAGTTCCGAATGTTCTCTGTCTTGGAGCCGTTGGGAAGGGGGCGGTTTGTAAAGCATTACAGGGCGTAGGACGCAGGAATAAAAGGCAGAAAGAAAGATGGCAGTAATTGTAATATCTTCGGAGTTCTCTGTTCCCCCCTCCTCTCTTCTGCCAGGAGCCCGTGCAATTGAGCGCGTTTCTCGGGCTCGCCGCTGACTCCCTGCAGGACACATAAAATCTGATCAAGTTCAGAGACGCGCTGCGCTTCAAGCAGCGCTTTAGAGCGCCGAGCCTTTCACACGCTCTCCCCCTCACTTCAGCATTTTACAAACCTGAAACGAGCAAAATCAGCCTCAAATCACTCTCTCACTCCGCCGTAGCCCCTCCGCCCATCCGCACGCACCACACAATGCTCAGGAAAAAACTCACTGTAGCCTTAATGTGATCTGAAGGTGAGTCTCTCTGCTCTGATTATGTTTTCTTTCTTAGTACGTTTAGAAAGTGTAGTTAACCTGTAGAGCTGTGTGTGTGTGTGTGTGTGTGTGTTAGTTGCTTTGGAAGGAAAGTGGACAAATATTACTGTACACTCTCCTAAAGTACAGCAGCACCCAGAGGTTCAAAATGGGACATAGAATATTAGGGCGCGACTGGTTTATGTTTAGTGTTGCTGGTTTACGGTTTAGGTATTTAAGATAAGAGCGCGAGCCGTTGCGTTTGATAAAAATCACACCGTCCTCAGAGAAAAAAAGTGTAAAATTTAAAGGGGAACGGTAACAAAATCAGAGATACTCTCTTTCTGTTCAGTTCCATCTATCTCCCCCAAACCCCTCCTTTCTCTCTCTCTCTCTCTCTCTCTCTCTCTCTCTCTCTCTCTCTCTGTCTCTCTCTCTCTCTCTCACACACACACACACACACACACACACATACTCACTCACACACACAGATTTATGGCGACCTTTTTGAAGTTTTACAAGTGACAGCGAGTAACTTTTCCTTCTCGTTATTTTACAGGCACTGTTATGCTGTAAGACAAAATATACCTGCCTCTGTACTACAGGTAGTTTAGTAATTCAGCCTTACATTTAAGATGGCTTAAAAAAACAGAAAACAAAGCCAGCAAAACAATTTATTTTTCCTAATAATTATCTGGGCCGGTTATAATTTAGCAAATTTCTCACGTCAGAAAATGACATCACCTGTTTTACATCTTACAGCCTGGTCAACAAGTAGTATAAGATCAGTTTTGACTGCACTATATATAAACACGATAGTCTATAGATTCTCCTTCTATGCTAAGTAAATAATGATTAATACTAGTTAATAACAATAGTATAATAATAATAATAATAATAATAATAATAATAATAGCACATTTATTTTTCTTATTGTTATTACTATTGTCATTATTGTTGTTCACATGAAAAAAGAACTTTTTTTTTTTTTTAAACGTAATTCGCAAAATTGCTTACTGGACATTGCCCACCACTCTAATGGGCATATTTCTTATGGGCATGCGCGTGAGAGCAGAGCTTATTAGGAAATGCATTAATTACTCGCTCAGCTCCGTCAACGAAAATAATGAAGTGAAATGAAAGTTGCAGATAACTTTTTCCTGACTAATGAACTGTTGCTATTTGGGGACGTTCTGTAAGTTTTCAGGAGGTCCATCTTGAGCGCGTGTATGAAGCAGGGCCGGCAGTGTTATCGCTCCCACTTAACTGGAATATGTTTCTCTGAAAACATCTGAGTTTGTCTTCCTCTGCCTTCTTCAGCCAGCGAGCCCGTTTTGATTTTAGACCAGTTGCCTGTGGGAAGCAGTGCAGGCCATTTGCCCTTCAGTGCAGTGAAACGTTCTCCTCAGCTGTTAACCCAATAGCTCCCAGACATTGTCTGTAATAGAAATGCAATACCAACTGCTGCAGTTCAGCTGATTGTGGCAGAGAGAATTTCATACTACAGGCTGTCATTAAACAAGAGAGTCTTCATTTAATTTTGCTCTTGATTTTAAAGTATGATTGAGTCATCACTGGTTTGTAGTACTCCCCTACTTGTAGTTTAGAACTAGACTCATATTTCTAAATCTGCAGGCACATAGCAGGTGAGAGAGAAGGAAGGAGATGGAGTCTGCTGTATGAAAGCAAATGTAATTTTTTTTGATTCTGGAAAAGTCTATATGGCAAATGTCTATATATAATGTCTATGTAAAAATCAGTACATCTAATGATTACACACCTTTGAATAATTTATAATAAGAGATCTGAAAATGCATACACTGATGGTTTGTGGTCACATATTTCTCATGTTTAATATGTTAATGGTAAATGTTATCATGATAGTTAAATTGTGGAACAGGTGGCTAACAACTTTCCTCACACACACACACACGCGTACACACACACCTGTAACTGCATGTGCACTAAAGTGATCGGTGCATCTAGTTTACAAAGAGCCAGAGTTGTTTTTCCTTCTGATGTAGCTGTGATATTTGATGCTGGTAACTACTTAAAATAGCTTTACAGAAATGGGAATAAGACTGAGGTTTTGTGGTTATTTCGCTAAAGCTTACGTTTGACCTTAGTTTGATGAATTCTGAGCAAGTTCAGAAGTTCAGTAGGTGTCCATTTTCAGTTTGTGGCCACATGATATCGCTTTATTATGTTAAGAGTAAAAACGTTCTTAAAAATATTTTTTGGTCATTTAATATCTGAAGTGGCTTCACTTTAGCTCAGATTCTTGTTTCCTTAGTGGAAAATTAAAACTCTATGATATGGCTGTATTTTGGTAATGTTGCTGTGATCTCCACCCAGTTCTACTTATTCATTTTTGTTAAAAAAAAAATGGAAAAAAAGACATACAGTACTACAGAACTATACAGATAATCTAGTTATCTCTCTCTCTCTTTCTGTTTTATATATACAGATAGACGCCTATAATAGAAATGTAATGCCAACATATGTACTAAGTGTACTAAACAGGTGTGTGTACTAATGTAGGTAGACTTGGAAAGCTTTTTAGATGGAAACTGTAATGAAAAGCCTAGTATGATATTATGGATGCCACAAATTTTGTAATTAAATGTTTTTTTTCTTTTTTTCTAGAACCAAAGAACTGAAGAAGATGAAAAAGCAGCACATAATGGAGAAGTAAGCTGTGCGTCGGGCGACTGTAGAGAAGGTGGTGGGTGACCAGGAACTGTTGGGTGGTATTTTCAGAAAGAATCATTTGCAGTTGACTCAACAGTGTTGGGCTCTACAGTGTTTGAATGTGGTAATGGGCAGCACTCTCACAGCCAGTTCTCTCAGAATTTGTTGATTGCAGCCATATTGCATGGGGCTGATGTTCTGAGGTTAGGTGAACCGCTAGCTCTAGCCTTTGTAGTATCACTGTCGTGACTCAATACATGTGAAATGTAACGTCTATGTAATTTTGCTGCCTTGATTTATTTACAAGCAATGCCATGAAAGTGTCTGAAGGCTTTGTCATCACTTTTTTACTGTAAAAATCTTTTATACTTGACACCAGATTGGAATTAATAGTTAATCTGTGATGTTTAATTAAAAATTATTTTCAAAGAAAGTAAACCAGAGTAACAGTGTTATGGTCACTGAATGCCAGCTCTTACTATAGAGAAATTTACTATTATTATTATTATTATTATTATCATTATTATTATTATTATTATTATTATTATTATTACATACGTGTTATATATGTAATACAATAACGCAGAAAAAATAAATATACAAAATAAATTTTTTGCTGCTGTAAAATTGACCATTTCTGTGGTGGTTTTGTGCACACTCATATCCAGATCAAGCCTCTTCTTGGGAAAAAAAATGACTGACTTAGAACTTAGAGCTTTTTGGACCCATAAATTATTTAACTCAGGACAAAAAGAATATATATATATATATATGTATATATATATATACATATATATATATATATATATATATATATATATATATATATATATATATATGTATATATATATATATATATATATATATATGAGTTCATATGTAGCTTATGAATATACTTCAGTGCACTTTGCACCTGTGCAAAATTTCCTGTTTACAAGGTGAAAAATTCCAGTTCCATTCGGAAACATAACAGCTTATTAATTACATAGTAATTACTTCCCTTATTGGGCTGTAAAATGCATCATTGGAGTGCTAGAAATAAATCTCCATGGCCTGAGATGAACTGTGGTTGTCTATGGGCTATTACAGACTGTAATCATTTTATCTGTTCTTACACAAACACACCAGTGCAGAGGGAGGGGGTGATGATGATGGTTATGAAGCTGGTGTACAGAGAACTATGAATAGACCTACAGTATATAGTTAGGCCTGTACAGACACAAATTTGGTCATTTATTTGGATATTTAAAGGCTTCAGATGAAATTGACACTCACTCGCCCTCTTGACGCTTTTTTTAGATAGAAGTACCCGTATGTTTTACACAGAATGAAAGAAAAATATGTGCTGCTTTATAAGCATGTAATTACACACGTTTGGACATTTTAAAAAATAATTAAAAAATCAGTAAATAATGAAATTAAAAAGCAACATAAGATGTAATACGTAGCTCACCACAGATAATCAACAGCTATTGCTAGCAATTATATTGCTAATATAACGGAGATGTAACTAGATCAGTTAGATAAATGCTGTTGCTCAGTTTGTCCCTGTATTTTACTGCAAACTCAGCTGTTACATATTAAAGTGGGGAATTAGGCCATACTTGCCTTTGCAAAATCTCTGAGGCATGAAACTAGCCCACCTTAAAGCTAAAATATAATTCATTCGGATGATGTTTTGTCTATATTTCTCTGTGGGTCTTTTTAGTGCCAATTTTTTGGTAACGTCCCACTTGTGTTGGATTTGAAAAATAGCCAAGACCCCATGTCCAAACGGACTCCATTAGAGTCTTGGTAGTGGGTACCCTATGGCTAAGAAGCACTTGGAAGTAAAATGATAGTGTCATTGTGCTGTCGGTTGTCATGAAATCGTGCCAAGCGTAGTTTACCTTGTCAGATATGTCTGTTGAATAAACGGAATGATTTTTGAAAGTGTAGTGTTGCCAAAGCACACATATTACGGAACGAAATAAGAGTCTGCTTTTTTTCTTTAGTGTTAATTTATTTTTTTGTCCTAAACTCTTCAGCCTCGCACATACAAGAATATATGCATGTAAGGAGCGAACAGACACTGCGCGTTTTGATTTTCGTGCCGATTTGACAGATGATTTACTGCACATCCTAATTTCTTTTCAGACTCCAGCAAAAATCTTCTGCATTATCCCTCTATAAGGCAACGTCTAGATGTTCCACCACGAGATATTTTGCAAGTTGTAATCTGACGCCTTGAAGTCAAAGAGGCGGCGATATTTGGCAGCGCATAAGCGGCACATATCAAAGCATTTTCACTGCGAGATTTGAAAACGGAGTCGTGTGGTGAACGCCTGCGTGTCCCTTTTAAAACAAACCCAGTCGCTGTCAATCACCGGGCATTCCAACCAATCCCCAAGCGCCCTTTTTTTAAACCCAGGTTTGCCTGCTGTGCTTTTATATTGCAGCCTGGCCTGGTTCGGAGCATTTTTTACTACCACGGTTATTGCCACAAATCAAGAGGGCAAAGTGAACGGCATGGGACTCGCACCGGCTTTAACGAACTCGGGTCCGATTCGTGCGTCCGCGACGTTCACGGCCGAGAGCTGCACGTGCAGATGATACACGGGCAGGGCCAATGGGGGACAAGGTTTTGTAGGTAAACCTCGAGCGTGAAGAGGTTCGGTTGCTTTTGCAGACCCACAGCCAAACTTAGCACCAATAACAACAATGACAAGCCTGTCGAGGTTTAGTGGCTGCCCTCTTTCTTGCGTCAACCCTGGGGAGAGCAATACTGAACCCAGTGTGGTGCTGCCACCTTTGGCAGGGGAGCACATGGGGCACCCCACTGGCACTTCCTTAAAACTCTGCCCCTCGCACAGTCTGCGAGACTACCCCGAGACGAGGGCCACTGCGTATGTTGACCACTCGATCCCCCACTTTCCAGACACTGGATACACCAGCCACCGCTTAGAAGCCAGTCCTAGGGGCATTATCATTGGGACAGGTCTGTCAGGAGCAGGCATGCCACCCGTGGCCGATCAACTGGCGCCGAGACCCAACCAACATGGCGCTATTGGAAGGCACCGTGACCTCCACGGCTATAGAGATGGCAGAAGCCACGCGTTCTTCGCCACCTACCAAGAGCAGGCCCACGGCTCCGCGGACGCCGCGCGAGACCTCAGCAGCCAGGTCATGCTGGGTCTTCCAGGAGAGATCCTCTCGCGCGCGCACCCGTACGGGCAGGCGCACGGCGGCCCTCGGGCCAACGGCCAGCAGCTGGTCACCCAGTTCTTGGGGCTCTACAAGCCGCTGAACATGGCCGTGCAGCGGGGAGGGGGCGACGCGTTCCTCAGGTGCTCCAGGCAGAACCTCGCACACGAGCTGGTGTGCAAGTGGCGGGACGGCCAAGAAGGCGCTGGCAAGCCGCCATGTGCCAGGACCTTCGGGACCATGTACGAACTTGTCACACATGTGACGATCGAGCATGTCGGGGGACCCGAGCACTCCGACTACGTGTGCCACTGGGAGAACTGTCCCAGAGACAGGAAGCCCTTCAAAGCCAAATACAAGCTGGTCAACCACGTCAGAGTGCACACGGGGGAAAAGCCCTTCCCCTGCCCTTTCCACGGATGTGAGAAAGTTTTCGCCAGATCCGAAAACCTCAAGATTCACAAGAGAACACACACAGGTTGGTCAAATAATAATAATAATAATAATAATAATAATAATAATAATGACAATAACAGTAATAATAATAATGATAATATATTAATTTATAATGTGTATTGTAGTATTTTAACAATTCTTTTTTTGTGAGAAAATATATACATATATTGTTTCACTTCAGATTTGAACTTCAAAGCGCCGGATTTTACAAGCTCCATAATTTTAAGGCAAAATGTATTAGCTCTGTAAGAACTGTTCATGAAACATTTATCTCAACTTATAGAAGCAGCCTATCTTTTGAAGATGTAGAAAAACGTTTTATTCGCTCTGTGGCTGCTTTAGTCACGCGTTTCCGCCAACAAAAATCTACTCAGCACTTTTCGCGCAGCTGTGTGTCCTCCTTTAGCACCTTCCTTTCTAATCAGAAGAGCTTTTGTCGGTAATAATCAGTAGCGTTCTGCTGGAGCCTAATAAGCACTGATGTTCTATCAGTTATCAGGTCAGTGGCTCTCGGATTGATTAAAACAGGAAAGCAGTCGCGGTGCTGAAAGGAGGCAGGTTCTCAGGGGCAGTTGTTTGGGTGCCTCTCATTCATGCAGTGAAATAAATAAATAAAGCGCGGGACACCGGAGAGCTGTGACGTAGCGTTGACGCTGCAGCAGCTACGGCTGCGCGCTCCCCACTCAGCGAGCACACGGTCCTCGGGTGGAACTGACGTCACGTCATTCCTGAAAATAATAATCTTTGCTGAATAATGCACGAGACCATCGTTGCATTAATGTAATGTTTATACATGATTTATAGACCGTATAGGAATATACGGAACGCTCTCTGATATAGTCTACATAGACTAGCCTGCTATCATTACTCTGTAGAGCTGGGCTGTTGTGTTTCTCTCTGATCTGTGAAATATCCCGCAGAAAGTTTGCTGAGCCACTTCAGCGAACTTTCAAACGATAGAAAGTTAAGTCGAAGAAGGCTTACAACGTACAGGTTTAGGTTGAAATAGTTTCTTTAATCTAGGCCTGATTTGTTAACCTCTCTCAAACTTTATGTAGTTATTAGTCTTAAGATTTATTACTTTTATTGCATTTTAGTACTTCAATTCAATTCAGTAACAGCTATAAACGGTTCGCTAACTACTGCAAAACTAATATGTAAGTTATACCATGTGGAACTGAAGTGGGAGCCCACATAACGACTCTTGCAGTTAACTGATATGAGAGGTCTCATAGATCTAAATAATTTGACCACAGACAATGAAATTGTGTTTCGTATTATTTTATGCAGGTTTGATACACAGCCTCATTACATGATATTATCTGTCCTTTAAGTTGCTAACTTACGGACAATAGAAGGTTTGTTTTCGGTAGAAGGGAGAAATCGGACAAACAGTTTGAGAGAATTGAGTTATGTTGCATTTGGTCCACTCTGTTTGTTTCTGATGTTTTGTGAGGGCCTACCTTGGATTACCTAAACTACAAATTAGCAGAGCTGTATGATGCTCCATGAATACAAGCTGAGATCCTTAAATGGGCCAAAACAGAAATGAGAAATGAAAAGCTTAATTTCTGTTTATTTATTTATTTGTTTATTAAATTGACGGAAGCTGTGAACAGAGCAGAGTCCACAGTGAATGAGGAGTGAGTCTCACTAACCGTCGTGTTGTAAACTTTGGGAGAAAGAGGCACCTAAACAATCCGCGTCCTCTTTGCTTGTTGAATGCAGCAAGTGGGGCTTACAAATTAATTTTATTTTATTAAAAAAAACAAAAAAAAACAACAAAAAAAAAAACAGACTAAGCCACAGTGCTAGTGCTGTCCATCCCGTTGTGGGCTCAGAGCTGATGAGTGGAGGGCTATAGCTCAGGCTCCATCACCCGTAACCCGCCGGTCATTTTGTCTCCTCCTCTGCTCCCCGTTTAGGTGAGAAACCGTTTAAATGCGAGTTTGAGGGCTGCACTCGGAGGTTCGCGAACAGCAGTGACCGGAAGAAGCACTCGCACGTGCACTCCAGCGATAAGCCCTACACGTGCAAGGTCAGAGGCTGCGAGAAATGTTACACGCACCCCAGCTCCCTGAGAAAGCACATGAAACTCCATTGCAAGGCCTACGTTGGCAAAATGGGCGAGGACGGGGAGCACCTTGGCCGGGCCGGCTCTCCCGAGGTGACTGAACAGCAGGACGCGTCCTCCTTGCCGCCCGTCCCCTCTCAAGAGCCCCCGTCCCCCGAGGCCCTGAGCGAGCCGGCCCTGAGGCCTCGCTTCCATCACACGTTTGACAACAGCTTGGACTACACGGCGCACAGGCCGCAGTCCCTTCTGGACCCTTTGCTGATACACCGGGGCAATTACAGACCCGAAACTGGCCAGTACCCGTGTAGCCAAGCGAGCCCCACTCTCGCCCCTAGCCACAGGACCTTCTCACCCCACTCACCTTTCCAAAAGAGTCTCGTGAACGGTTGGTACACGTGCCATGGTGGCGTGGAGACTTTCTCGTCCAAGCAGTGTAATAATGATGTATGATGTGCGCTCGGGAAATTGAAGGGGTGGGTTTTGGGGTCATTTAAACTCGGATTCAACATATAAGGCAGCATGACAGTATGGAGAGACCTTTGGTGTCAAATTGTCCTATATGTCAGCTGTCTGTATAGCATAGTGCAATTTGTTTGCTGTGAGCTTTATCTGTTGTACATGACAGTTATTGGTGTATTGGTGGGCTTGAATTGTGTTAGTGATGTTCTTTAACTGAAGGTAGAGTACTTACTCCACCCTTCACTGGACTTGAAGTATTGTTAGATATTAGTCTATACACGCTCTTTCTCTTCCTATTCATAATATATAGTCTAAATATTTTATGAGACGAAGGATATATAATATGGTCGTAAGTTTACGTTTTTTGTCTGTATAAGAGGTTTTTAACCACAACGTGGAGGTCACGAGGCCTTTTAAGGAGAGGCAGATATCTTATGTGTTACAATGAGAAACTAAAGGGAATTATAATTTAGACTCACTCAACTTCTATCTCTAAAAAGAACTTTTTTTTTTTTAGTGGGAGGCTCGTGCATTAAAGCTTGACCCCACTTACAGTGCCGAGGCCTTCAGTTTATTTCACATGGGTCCAACTTAAAAAGAAAAATGTAAAAAGCTTTTTTGTTATTAACCCCCAAGTGGATGAGACTAGGCCTTCTGCATTGGAGAACCATTTTTTAGGCCATGTTCATAGAGACCACTGCACCACAAAGCCCTCGCTCTCCGTTTGTATGTGTCGACACTATTTCCTACTTTTGTGAAATAAAAATTTATATATATATTTTTTTCTTTTCGGTGAATAACATTTACAATCCCACTCTCAGTCTCTCATAAGAATTAAAATGTTTAATTAAATTCCACTGTATATATACTGTACCATTAATTATGCATTCAAGATTTCATTAAAGTGTCTCTATTCTCTTTGATCAGGCCTAGTGTGATTAAACTCAATGCATTCTTAAAGAAAACGTGCTGCAGTCGAGACTCACTCAACTCGTGTGTTTATTTCTGCCTTACAAGATGGATCACTCAGATTTCTTGGAATTCAATTAGCAAGACACAAAATCCAGGTAATGGCAGTAGTGGTCAGTGAGCACGGTGGGGTGCTTCGGAACAGAAGGCTAGATTACGGGCCCTTCTGTTTAAAATTTCAGCATTTTGAATTCGTTCCAAACATGTTATCGCGGACTAAAGCAGACGCGGACAAGTCTGAACTAATCGCCCACTGAGAATTCCGCAATTTACACATTTACAGTCCTTTCTTTACTATTGCTGGTTTTAGAAAGAAGCGGGAATATTAAAGCAAGTGCTGGTCATAATCTGAATGTGTCACGCTTATTAGACTGCAGTAGAGTTCTCAATATGAACGTTATATCTGTCACAGTATATCTGACCGCACTATTAAAGCCACTGTAGGAAAGTTTAGCCCACATGCCCACCTGGTGCTCACCGCCACACCACTTTACTACAACTTATACAGTGTTCTTACTCACTTTTCTGTGATCGCTTAAGTTTGCGCCGGTAAAGAGTGCACTGACAGACACCCAGTACTTATAGATGGATGTCTAAAAAAAAATCTATAAAAAATCAACATAAATATCCAGGCCTAGACGTCTACGCTATTAGTCCATAACTGTGCTTCACTAAAATGAAGGCTTTAGACGCTTAGACGACGCGAAACCAATTAAAGGAGAACTCCACCAATTTTTCAAAAGTTTCACATAATTAAATGGTTAAGATGTAAACAAAGCCATTCAGAGTGGTTCGATGTGAAATGCTCCATTCTAGAGAAACTTACCGAGTCAGAATTGTTCCCACTGGTGCTGATAGGAACTAAACGCCTGAAGAGTTTAATGCCTTTAAGAGCTTCCTCACAGAAAGTTAATTACACAAATTGGTTATGAATGCTCCGCCTGATGCCTGATACTGTGAAGACGCCACCTGATGCCTGATACATTGTTTTACGCTAGTTTTGCGATAAAGTTTTGGCCTAAACGTCTTAATCCTCTTATTTTAATCCATTGATGGCAGTGAGGTACATACAGCGGGTTATAAGCCAAAATAGTCCCCAAAGAAAACATATTTTTTTCATATTTTCCACCATTTTAGCATCATCGACGTATATAAAAACTCAGAAGACAAGTGTAGGTTCAGTGGTGGCTTTGGATAAGTAGTAAAATGGCTGTATTTGTGTTGTAGACACGGCGACGTCTGGTTCCTGTCACCACCACTGTAAAGAAATATGTAACTGTAACTTACTGTACAACGGACCATTTCTTATCAACCCAGTGACTTTGTTTACGTAGCAAGGACGGAACTGTGCAAAAAAAAAGGAAAAATTGAAAAATCGGTGGAATTCCCCTTTAAGTAATTAACAAACTAATTGAATTGAATTTTCGTCGCTTTCAGCTTTTTGACTGACACTGGAAGCGACTCCACACGAACTGACGTCACGTGTCTGATTTATTGAAGAGTTTGGTTGGAGCTGCTTTCACGTCAACTTTCCGCGTGCACATAAAGGATGAGTTTGGAAACTTCTGACATTTGTCTTCTTGACGGATCCATTTGTTGTGGAAGTGGCCCAGTATGACTACGCTGTGGGAGGGGAGTAGCTGTAAGGTTGTTTTGTCTGCTTTTGACTTCTTTGTTGACTACGTTTTCCGAGTAACTGCCTCACTGTAGGTCTGTGTGAATCAGTTTTAGCATAAGTGGATGTTCCTTGTCTCATTTCAGGCACGTAGAGATTCAGTTCCGTATCGCGTTTCTCTGTGTGATTTTGCAGAGCCTGCTAGGCTAATGTTCGGGTAGGCCTTTTCTATTACAAATGCTAATTTCTGCCTGGGATGGTTATTACAATAATGCTGCTCATTCATAGTTTACGAGCACAATTCCCATTGTCGAGGATAGTGCCCCGGGCACACGATCATTATAGTGTGCTTAAAAAGAGAAACTGCTGAAAAATCAGTGACTGTAGAATTTAGCGCGCTAACTAGGCCAGCTAATTTTTTTCTGTTTGGAATTGAGGCGCGCAACACCACCAGTGTCTAAGTTAACTGTTTTTTGCAAGGAAAAAAGGTTACTCGGGCTTTTGACCACATGGGGCTTCCATCAAAATATCAAAAATATATACCGACCTGATTTTGAGTTTATTCATGCATTTATTTATGCCTTGAGGCCTAGATATGATAGATTCATAAATGCCCCTTTTGTGGACAGTAACCTTATCTCACATAATAATCATGAGGCCTTTCAAATTTAGGACAGAATTTTGGGGAATTATGCTTTATTGAAGTAACTGGGAAAAAAATGAGGGTAGTCATAGATACAGCAAAACTTTGGAGCTTTCAAACAACAGGACTTGAACTACATCTTCATGTTGCATTTGCATCATGTTGCATGAGGTACTCCTCAGAGCGTAAGTAATTAGGCCACCTGTGGGAATGAATGTCAGTTTTTAAATTATACTTACAGGCGTATCTTGAGTTGAGAGGGAACTTGCACACTTTGCCAGGCATTATTAAGCATATTTGGTGCAATTATGCATCAGTTGTATAATTGGAGTTCAATCAAGCCAAGTGGCATTATACATTGTTATAAGGCCTCTGTGTGATTGTAAGCAGTGAACCCTGCTTACTTCTTATAATTGTCTATTGTTGTCTCATGTCATTTGTTACATCTTTTCTCATCCCAGTTTGAATAGTACAAACATTACAGTCTCAGATATATTCGGGCCATAAATCAGAGATTCCTTACTTACCAAAATCGGAACATAACCTGTTTCCTCCTGAATATGAGTAGAGTCATATGCCAGAAAATCACCTTAAGACATTAAGCAAATACTGCTCATCTCACAGCATCAAAATGCACAACGCATACAACCCTGAAATTCCTGAAGGTTTCTTTCACAAAATTACTGGTTGATTTTGCTAGTGCATCTCACTTTCACTAAGGCGTGTCTGCCTGTAAATGTCAAATATGGGGGAAAAAAAAGAGAAGAAAAAGCATTAAAAGGTTTAAACCATCTGTTTCAAGTTCTCTCTGTCAGTCAAACATAACGGGCACCTCCCTGTTCAGCAGTTACAGTTACTTTGCCCGAGACCAAAAGTGCTGTTAGAGGACATAGAGTACATTGTACACTGCAGGCTTTATATTTTGGTGGCTCATCTCTTCACAATAATTAGCGGCTCCTGTTAGCATGATGGTTGACATTAAATGACCTTATACAATGTTGACATGATCTGACTCCCTGCTGGTCAGAAGGTCTCTTAACTAGCCACAATAAGCCTCACTGTACACTGAAAAGAAGTTGAAAAGGGAATTTTCCTTTGAATGTTTCAGGTGAGCACACATTGTGGAAGGATGTACTGTTTTTTGGATGGAGTGAAAAAAAAACAGAAAAGGCATTTTGTCTTTTTGACTGCTTTCTTTGTAATATACAGTACAGTGCAGAAGTCAGAGACCGTTGTTCATTCATTTAATTTCCAGTCAAAATGGCAGTTAAATGTAAAATTATTCATATTTACGTATTAGAAAAAAAAAATTAAACATATATTTTACATTAAATTATACATAAGTCTCAACAATTAAATGTAAAATTAAATTTTCAGTATTGAGAGTGTCCTTCTTTTGCCTTTATCACATATAATCTTTTCAGATGACTCTCTTTCAGTTTCTAAGAAATATGCAGGGATATTTTTCCACACCTCTAAAGTTGAGTCTTAGAAGTTGGTGGCATTTTTGCTTCTCATAATCCAAGTCATCCCAATTACAAATTAAGACTTGTCAGTCTGTAAAACTTGACTCTACATCTCAGATGTCCAGTTTTTGTGTTCTTGTGCAAATTTTCGTGCAAGTTTTCTTCTTTTTTGTGTAGTTAATTTTCTCTGTAACACCTTATAAACAGCTACACATCCTTTCAGACTTATAGTGTTGAGTTGTCTTCTCACAGTAGAAGGATGAAAAGAAACACCTATATTTTTTTCAGATCTGAAGCAACAGTGGAGCTTGAGTTTCTCCTCTCTCAAAGATGAAAGCTTTATCTTGTGACAGTTTTATGGTCTACCAAGTCTTGCATGGTTGTAATGAGTCCCATTTTCTTGATATCTTAAATTATTTTTCAACTCCAGGTTTTCAGTCACTTGCCTGTTACACTCCCCCTAACGTATGCGAGTGGATGATCTTATATCTAATCTAAGAAATATCTTATTTAGCCATTTTAGATGCACATGAGAAAGAAATTTGTGTAGTTGGTTGTGTGAATGTTAGTGTCTCTTTGAAGATCAATGCAATGTCATTGACACCTATGGGAACAGCTTTTGTTGGGAGGATACAGCTGGAACTTGTTGGTTGGAAGGATGAAAGAGTTAAAATGGCAGAAGGGTGCACACAAGTAAAAAAAAAAGTTAAATGTGGACTGCTTTTTTCTGGACACTGGAAAATGAATAACTTGTACTGGATTTGATTGGAAATACATGAAAGAGTAGTCTCTGACTTTTGCACAGTACTGTATATATTTAGCTATATATGATTCTTATCTTGACTGTCATATATTGTCATACAAAGATACACAGGTCTTTTTGCATGCACTTCACTTATAGCACAGGCATCTGGTTATTTTATCACTTAAATTCATCAAAATGCAAAATCACTTTTTAAAAAACTTCTCCATTACAGTGGCCTGCAAATCTGTTCCATTTTTCTGGAGCTGCATCCCGGCCCTTCAACATAGATTTTATTCCCAGTTACTGTTTGTTTTTGTCCTCAAACATGGTTCATCTGTTCCCTGAAGTCTTTGGAGGACATTGATACTGCTGCATACATAATTGCCCTGGATAAATGTCTTTACTTGAGGGGAATAATCTAGCCTCCATTAGATTTGTTATGCAGGCGGAGTGGTGATGTATACATTGAGTGTGCACACCCTGAA